ATAGACTAGACTATAGACTAGACTATAGACTAGACTATAGACTAGACTATAGACTAGACTATAGACTAGACTATAGACTAGACTATAGACTAGACTATAGACTAGACTATAGACTAGACTATAGACTAGACTATAGACTAGACTAGACTACAGACTATAGACTAGACTAGACTATAGACTAGACTATAGACTAGACTAGACTATAGACTAGACTATAGACTAGACTATAGACTAGACTATAGACTAGACTATAGACTAGACTATAGACTAGACTATAGACTAGACTATAGACTAGACTATAGACTAGACTATAGACTAGACTAGACTAGACTAGACTATAGACTAGACTATAGACTAGGCTATAGACTAGACTATAGACTAGACTATAGACTAGACTACAGACTAGACTACAGACTAGACTATAGACTAGACTAGACTATAGACTAGACTGTAGACTAGACTAGACCATAGACTAGACTATAGACTAGACTATAGACTAGACTATAGACTAGACTATAGACTAGACTATAGACTAGACTATAGACTAGACTATAGACTAGACTAGACTACAGACTATAGACTAGACTAGACTAGACTATAGACTAGACTATAGACTAGACTATAGACTAGACTAGACTATAGACTAGACTATAGACTAGACTATAGACTAGACTATAGACTAGACTATAGACTAGACTATAGACTAGACTATAGACTAGACTATAGACTAGACAATAGACTAGACTATAGACTAGACTATAGACTAGACTATAGACTAGACTATAGACTAGACTATAGACTAGACTATAGACTAGACTATAGACTAGACTATAGACTAGACTATAGACTAGACTATAGACTAGACTATAGACTAGACTATAGACTAGACTATAGACTAGACTATAGACTAGACTATAGACTAGACTATAGACTAGACTATAGACTAGACTATAGACTAGACTATAGACTAGACTAGACTAGACTATAGACTAGACTATAGACTAGGCTATAGACTAGACTATAGACTAGACTATAGACTAGACTACAGACTAGACTACAGACTAGACTATAGACTAGACTAGACTATAGACTAGACTGTAGACTAGACTAGACCATAGACTAGACTATAGACTAGACTATAGACTAGACTATAGACTAGACTATAGACTAGACTATAGACTAGACTAGACTAGATTATAGACTAGACTATAGACTAGACTATAGACTAGACTATAGACTAGACTATAGACTAGACTATAGACTAGACTATAGACTAGACTATAGACTAGACTATAGACTAGACTATAGACTTGACTATAGACTAGACTATAGACTAGACTATAGACTAGACTATAGACTAGACTATAGACTAGACTATAGACTAGACTATAGACTAGACTATAGACTAGACTATAGACTAGACTATAGACTAGAATATAGACTAGACTATAGACTAGACTATAGACTAGACTATAGACTAGACTATAGACTAGACTATAGACTAGACAATAGACTAGACTATAGACTAGACTATAGACTAGACTATAGACTAGACTATAGACTAGACTATAGACTAGACTATAGACTAGACTATAGACTAGACTATAGACTAGACTATAGACTAGACTATAGACTAGACTATAGACTAGACTATAGACTAGACTATAGACTAGACTATAGACTAGACTATAGACTAGACTATAGACTAGACTATAGACTAGACTATAGACTAGACTATAGACTAGACTATAGACTAGACTATAGACTAGACTATAGACTAGACTATAGACTAGACTATAGACTAGACTATAGACTAGACTATAGACTAGACTATAGACTAGATTATAGACTAGACTATAGACTAGACTATAGACTAGGCTATAGACTAGACTATAGACTAGACTATAGACTAGGCTATAGACTAGACTATAGACTAGACTATAGACTAGACTATAGACTAGACTATAGACTAGACTATAGACTAGACTATAGACTAGACTATAGACTAGACTATAGACTAGACTATAGACTAGACTATAGACTAGACTATAGACTAGACTATAGACTAGACTATAGACTAGACTATAGACTAGACTATAGACTAGACTATAGACTAGACTATAGACTAGACTATAGACTAGACTATAGACCAGACTATAGACTAGACTATAGACTAGACTATAGACCAGACTATAGACTAGACTATAGACTAGACTATAGACTAGACTATAGACTAGACTATAGACTAGACTATAGACTAGACTATAGACTAGACTATAGACTAGACTATAGACTAGACTATAGACTAGACTATAGACTAGACTATAGACTAGACTATAGACTAGACTATAGACTAGACTATAGACTAGACTATAGACTAGACTATAGACTAGACTATAGACTAGACTATAGACTAGACTATAGACTAGACTATAGACTAGACTATAGACTAGACTATAGACTAGACTATAGACTAGACTATAGACTAGACTATAGACTAGACTATAGACTAGACTATAGACTAGACTATAGACTAGACTATAGACTAGAACTATAGACTAGACTATAGACTAGACTATAGACTAGACTATAGACTAGACTATAGACTAGACTATAGACTAGACTATAGACTAGACTATAGACTAGACTATAGACTAGACTATAGACTAGACTATAGACTAGACTATAGACTAGACTATAGACTAGACTATAGACTAGACTATAGACTAGACTATAGACTAGACTATAGACTAGACTATAGACTAGACTATAGACTAGACTATAGACTAGACTATAGACTAGACTATAGACTAGACTATAGACTAGACTATAGACTAGACTATAGACTAGACTATAGACTAGACTATAGACTAGACTATAGACTAGACTATAGACTAGACTATAGACTAGACTAGACTATAGACTAGACTAGACTATAGACTAGACTAGACTATAGACTAGACTATAGACTAGACTATAGACTAGACTATAGACTAGACTATAGACTAGACTATAGACTAGACTAGACTAGACTATAGACTAGACTATAGACTAGACTATAGACTAAACTATAGACTAGACTATAGACGAGACTAATCTATATGTTTTGTTAAGCTAATTATACTGCCATTACTTATAGGGAATTAATATATATAAAAAAATTAAATAAAATTATAATTTTTTGATTAAAATAAATTTTTGTTGAGATAATAGCGCAAACATGACTATGATTTTTTTGTTTTTATTTTTGCAATGTTTTCAGCTAGAATTGATGTCACTATAGAAGTGTGTTTCATTACGTTTTTGCACTATTTAAAAGATGTTGTTTTTTTAAAAACAAAACCTGAATGATTTGCAAAATATTTAGCAGTTTTCAGATTAATTCATATTATTATTGTAAACTTGTGTTGAGAGATAGCCTTTATAAGGAAATTTGGCAGTTTATTTTGTAAATTAATTTCTCAAATTTTAATTTATTTTTCGTATAAATGGTTTCTGTTAGTCTATTCAAACATTTTTTTGTGAAAAATATTTAACAAAACAAAAAAATACAGTTGCTCAAAGAATTTTATGTAAAAAACTTGCATTCGAAAAATGTACGAAAAACAGAAACTCAAATCAATCTTAAAACTGTAGTTCTAATACTAAACTTTCTATATTAATTAATAGGGAAAAACTGCAATATCTTTATTTTCTTTGTTATAGTAAAACTATGCAGAAAAATTTTGTTGTAAAGATTATTTACTAAAGAAAATAAGATCCAAATTTTTCCCACAAAAATTTTATTTTCTCTTCAATATTAAAATTTTTACAAAATCTCTAACAGTATTTTTGTCTTTAGGGCGCCATCTGTCAACAAACAGAAAACAACCAGAATGCTAATAATTTACTATGAATATTAGCCATGTGCTATTAATTCACCTGTGATTGTTAACAAGGAGAAAATGACGCCTTCGTTAATATTTGTCGGCACTGGTCTCTGTCTAGCAAACTACATGAATTTGCAAAAAACCAGCAGAAGAAGCATTAAAAATTGTTTTGTCACTTGAAAGCCGCTCGAGAATTTTTCGTATTTGAATAAATTTATAAAACTAAATAATTGTAAAAAGATGGCTTTAGCAGAAATTTGTAATATTTCAAATGCTCCCTACATGAAATCACGTAATTTCACACCCTCGGATTTCGAAAACGATTGCCAGCAGTATACTTCCAATTTGGTTAATCCCTACGTTTTGTCGGCACCACCATTCGAAAATCCCATTGAGAATTTGTGTAAAATTCAGGCCAACAGTGATAAGAGTGGCATTAAGATAGAATTTGATCATGGTACCACCACATTGGGTTTCAAATATCAAGGAGGTGTTATATTGGCAGTAGATTCTCGTGCCACCGGCGGCCAGTTCATTGGCTCGCAAACCATGAAAAAAATTGTGGAGATTAATCAATATTTATTGGGTACCTTGGCTGGTGGTGCAGCCGATTGTGTGTATTGGGATCGTGTATTGGCTAAGGAATGCCGCCTGCATGAATTGCGCAATAAGGAACGTATTTCGGTGGCCGCCGCTAGTAAGATAATGGCTAATATTGCTCATGAGTACAAGGGTATGGGTCTTAGTATGGGCATGATGTTAGCGGGCTATGACAAACGTGGTCCCGGACTTTACTATGTGGATTCGGAGGGATCACGTACACCCGGTAATGTTTTCTCTGTGGGCAGTGGTTCTATTTATGCTTTTGGTGTTTTGGATTCCGGCTATAAGTGGGATTTGAAAGATGAAGAGGCTCAGGAATTGGGCAGACGTGCTATTTATCATGCCACCTATAGAGATGCCTATTCGGGTGGTATTGTACGTGTTTATCATATGACCCCCAATGGTTGGATTAACATTTCAAATACCGATTGTATGGAATTACATTATAAGTATGAAGAGGAGAAGAAAAATAAACATTAAAATGTTTGCAGCCTGGAGGGGATGATAATGTAAGAGTTTCTTTGTGAATTGAATTCATTTTATTTTATAAAAAAGAAAGAAAAATTTAATAAAACTGTGGATTTTTTAATAGATGTGGTTTTCTTTATAAATTTCTGTGTTGTCCATGTACGATGTTTACGAAGCTGGAGCGGTGTGTTTAGCGTCATAACTACCAGTTGTCCTCTTGAAAGTCAAATTGCCCTCTTTATCCTTGTAACAGTCCTACTCTTGCCTATATAGCCCAGACTATAGAGTAGACTAGCCCTAGAGTAGAATATAATCCAGAATATGGACCACTGACAATTTCTTTCTCCTTTTATCAATTACTAATGAGTTTAAGGGCCTAATTCGAAATTTATTTTTAATTTTATTGATTTTTAATAGCCACTATGGCAAAATGTCTGGGAGAAACAACCGGATCAAATACCGGTATTAGATAGCTTTGTTCATAACCCTTCTCTCTCAAAAACAATAAACGATCTAATAATATAAGTGACTCTAAAACCGGAGCAAATGTCATGCGTAATAAATAAAATAAATCTAAATACTTTTTATTCCCACTTAACTGTTGGGCAGTGAAAATTTCATCTATCCTCTCCGCCTTTAAATTTAAATCCGGATACTTTTTTCTACACAAATCTACATACTCTTTAAAATTACTGAATTTACGTATTTTGCCCACCTGTACAGTATTTTCTAAATCCTTGTGTTCTTCACATATTAACAACTCCAGCAAGGCACGGTAGTATAAAGAAATATTGGGCAATTCTTTAGCAGCCATTACCCGCTCTATAGACTGAGCCGCCAACATGCGTGCATTGCGTCCTAATTTTACTTCTTTTGCTTTTAGATAGGAGCTAAGTGGGAAACCTATTTCTTGATTTAAGTCCGATATTTGTTTATTGCCAAAGAATTCGTCTGTTGAAAATTGTTCCTTTAGCAGATGATAACAGCAGCCGATATTGCACATTAGTTTGCAACTAATTTGGGTGTGAAAAAGTTTTAAACAGGTGGCCGCCAGATTGCCACAAGTATGCAGGCCAGTCAAACATATGGAGGGCATTGTTGCTTGGTTAGCATTTTCGGGAAATTGTTGTTGTATTAGTCCCACCAAATCCATATCGGAGGTTATAAATTTATCTATGGTCTTGTAGTTGTCATTTTCTTGACTAACCGGCAATTTGTCTTCAACTAGGTTTTTCTGTTGCAACTTTTGTTTTAAATTACCGCGTCTGGCTGGTGTTAGACCTTTGGATTCTAATTCAGCTCTTTCCTTTAGGCCATTCCAAGCTTTCTATTTACAAAAGTAAATAAAATAATGAAAATTGGATTTATTTTACTACACAAAACTTTACCTTTAACTTTTTACTTCTCTCTATGGCATTTTGCGTATTGGCTGTATTACTATCAATGCCCAAAACGTTATGGCCATATTCCAAAGCCAAACGTGAGGATAAATAACCCTTACCATCACCAGCATCTACTATAATAGCCTGCTCTCGCCAAATGCTGTTAGTTATTAAATTATTAACCAAACCCGCAGTAATTTCCACCTTGTAAAGATTTCATTTATAAACTAACTTATTTAGAGAATCTTTATAATATGCCTTACCTCATGCTGTTTCTTTTCGGTTAAAAATTCTTTAATTTTTATCTGTAGAGTTGTTTCTTTTGGCACTCCCAGCACTTTTTCCTCAAATTCTGTTGCTGTTAATATAACATCACTAAAACTATGTAAACTATGTTGCTGAGCCAAACGTCTAAATTTTACAAACTTCGGAAATTTTTGCGTAGTCGACGATTCTTCCACATAAGCTGGTAAATTCCAAAAAACCTCCTCTATACATTCATCTAAAGTATAGCAATTATTTAACTCATTATGCAGCTCTGAAGGCACAAAGTTATGCCAGTGATTGTCGGTTAAATAATTAACCATATGGCAATTAACCCAAGACCAATGTGGGGACATAAACTGCAGTATACTGTCCACTCGCTTTTGCAAAATTTGGCAGGACATTATTTCTTTTTTTTGCTTAAAATGATAAATCTTTCCTTTCTTCTTCCTTTATAGGTGAATCCGTAGTTGTGTTCTTCAGTCCCAATGAAACACGCAATCTTTTATTTAAATTTCTTATCTGTTCCAGGGCACCAACTATATCTGCCTCAGGATCGTTTTCTCTAGGAAATTCTTCAATTAAACTTTTCAACTGTTCCATACAACGTTTCACTTTATCAGTATGTTTGTTTTGCTGCTGTAAGGCGGTAATTAAACCAAAAATCTCGGCCAATTCTTCTCCCAGTTGTAAACCCTGAGCGAAACCCAAACGGTAACCATCAGCGTTTCCCTGTTGGCAACCTTCAGCAAAACCTTCTTTATAGCTTTTCTCCACTAAACGTTCTTCGGTTAGGATAATGTCATCAAATATATCATTAATATCACGTTCCGGTTGGGTATCTTGCTGCGTTTCCAACATGGCAAAACAAACGTGGAAGTACTT